TTTTTTTTTTTTTTTTTTTTTTTTTTTTTTTTTTTTTTTTTTTTTTTTTGTGTTTTCTCTTTTCATTATCTCGTGCGAAGGTTGAAAAGACGTGTTTTCAATTTTTCTGGCGAAATGAAATATTTCCGCGACCACGAGTGGGGGGGGGGAGAGGAAGACGGAGTCCTCCTGCAGCGCTGAAAAAGTTTAGCCGTCAAGGTAGGCTTTTTTTGTGAGAGCGCGACTATTATACCACTCGCCGAGGGTGAGCTTTCGACGGAGTTGGCGGTGTAAAAGCTAGCCTTCGATCGGGTACACCGGTAAAAGCAGATTTTGAAGAGGAAAACTTAAACATTTCCGCCGGTGGGAGAAAAATCAAGTGCCCTCCCTCCTAATGAATTGCCAGGAATGCTCCATCAACGAAGCGCATGAATTTTACGTGATCGACGAGTAGTTGTAAAAGCGCGACCACACCCCTCGAAAACGTAATATATATATATATATATTCCGAATAAACAAATAGGATCCGAATAAACAAAAAAACTGATTAACTAAAGAGAGCACGAACAAATATATAAGTGAAACAATCAAAGTGACTGGCCGTTGTTACAAAGCGGGAGCGCGTATCGGCCGCGAACGTAATTTTAAGTAGTACGAGTCAGCGTGTGGGCCGGCCGACGCATACATCGCGAGAGGGCGGTCCTTCCGCTCGTTCCTCTGACCCGTTTGACCAAAGAAAAGTATACAGACATAACGAAAAGCCAGAGAGAGGGTGGCTAGTGGGAGAGAAAAGACGATCAAACCGCCGACGGTAGGAGCCCCGAGCTTTGAAACTCCATCGAACCTTTTGCCGCAGACTCTGGCTCCCCGTTCCTATATACCTTCAGCCACCCGTGGTGCTGCTCGTACTTTGATATTTTCTTTTTTTTTTTTTTTTTTTCCTACGTTATAGCCCTTTTTAGGTGCAACACATACGTATACACGAGTAAACGCGGGAGCAGTTGAACGCGCGCGAAGCGGCGGACTTCATTAGTCACGGGAGAGTCTTTTCCACCTCCTCGCAGTACTGCCGAGAGGGATAAGGGGCTCCGAAAGAGGGACGCTCTTGACGGGAGAGGCGCCTTTATTCGTTCGCTCGGGATGCCGACGTTGGAGAGTCCGTGGGCTTCGTTAGGGCCTTTTCAGACGGAATAATTTGTTTCGTTCAGCTGCACATTTGTTGATCAAGATATTTCTCGGCTAGCTCTCTCGCTGCCACCGGGAATTACTCGACGCCACGCTTATTCACTCGGGACTTATTTTATTCGCTCCCTTTTTCTCTCTCGCTCGCGTCACGCGTCAAAACGTAAAATTTGTCGAAGCCCTCTATCCCTGCATGACAAAATTAATCGATAATAATGACGCGTGTGTCCCTTTGTACCGTGTATACGCACGGCGATGATATCATCTGCATGATAATGTGCCCCCGTTTTGGGGGGTCATATTTGCACGAATGACTTTGTCAATTGACGAATTTAAATCTAAATATCCCCACGGCAATGGTAGTGTGGACAACACTTTGCGATATTGCTTCATGGATTTGAGCTCGAAAATCGCTCGATTGAACGAAAAGAATCGTGAAAAAACGCGAAAGCTGCCAACCCTTCGAATGGAATAAAATTAAATTCCCCAGAGCCCAGCAGTTTCTCTTCAATTAACAAAAATGTTTGTACGCCCCCTCTCCCTCCCAAGTGCGGCGCTAAGAGGGACCAAGCGGAACGTAACGCCGCGGGGATATTGTCGCGCGTATCTGGAAAGTAACAACGACGACTTATGCCTTAATTATTACGGCTCCGTCGCGTTAATTAACGAAAGCCGCCCGAAAGCGCCCGACTTTATGTATATAATTATATATGCACACAACGTTTTCACTCTTCTTTGTTTCCTTTTTTTTCCCCCTCCCCCCTCGTCTAGATGGGCTTTCGCGCGACTCTTTGTGCACCCGCGTGCAAGGGATACACGTAAGTATCCCCCAACACCTCCGCGGCGGAGGGAGTATAATGGCTCCATCAAGTCCGCGCGGCAGCGAGTTTACCGAAAACAACGTACACGGGCGTACGCTTCGACGCCCCACCGACATCGGCGCGGTGCGGCTTGATGCACTTGCAAGTGTGCATGGTACGTGCAACAATATGCTTGTTTTGTTTCGTGCGTTGTTTTTTTTTTTTNATAAGAAGATCACGAAAATGAAGACCGGCCCACTTAACACGTAACACTGATAATGCGATACGACGGGGTGGGGGAGAAAAGTAATCTCGCGATAATCTCGGAGGATCTCTCTTGATGACGAAATAATTTCGAGTGAACGCGTTGTGTGCGCCAAACTCGGTATACTGTATAAAATACATTGTATTTCGCTCGAAGGAAAATAGCTGGGTATTTTTTTTTTTTTCTTTTTTTTTTTTTAGAACCACCGACTCTTTTTAACGTAGTTTAACCATTTCAACCCGCGCTGTAGGTTGAAAAAAAAAAAAAAAAAAAAAAAAAAAAAAAAAAAAAAAAATTATGAACCAGTTATGGTATAGTCGATTTTTTTTTTCCTGTCGTACCTGGCTGTTCATCGGGTCCGTGTTGATCTGGCACATGTAGAGGCCCTCATCCTCCTTCTGTACGCCCTTGATGCGGAGGTTCCAAGCCGTGTGGTCGCCGTGAAATACCGAGACTCGCGGGTTGTGGGTTATCACGCGCTCGTGGATCGCCTGGATCGCCTTGGTGTCTACCTTCACCCAGCCCACCTGTCGAGCAAAGCCAATTCCCCGTGTCATCAATACCTACTACTTACATTTTCTATTCTCTACTATTTTTCCTCACTTATTTTCATACTACCCGTGTACATTTATTTTTTGTTTCTAAGTCGTTAATTAAACAGTTTATGCGCCATTTTTACATTCTACGAACCTTGTTATAAATATTCATTGTACCTTTAAAATTTGTATCCTTATTTTTATTTTTACACTATGTATACTTATTGTTACTGTTTATGATTTTTTCTGTGTATTTTTATCTGAGGGCCAGACATGGCACAGCCACAAGGCCTCAATAAAGTTCTATCAATCAATCAATCAATCAATCAATCAATATCGTGAATGTATCATTGTACGTACATCGAGTTGGTAAACGATGCAAGTGAAAATCTATATAAGCGATCGGTAATCGTCACCTTGACCATGGCATTGGTGAGAAAAATCATCAGGCTGCTACCGATGAGATAACCTTTTGGATCATCGCCGCGATGATATATTGACGGGGAGAGCAGCGCGTATACGCGGATGAGTCTTCTGGATGGTGAAAAAAAAAAAAAAAAAAAAAAAAAGTAGGAGAAGAAAGACCCAGGGTCTCTGTCGTCGAGCCGGAGATTTAATGGGAAACTCCTGGGAAAACGGAGCTCGAGGAGAGATCGATACACACACACGCGCGGGCGAGAGCGATCGAAAATAAAATGAGTGTAGAGGGAGGAATGGCTCACCTTGTAGCCGCCCAAGTGTTCGACGTGGCACGTGAAAACTGCGTCCCTGCCGAGCGGCACCGTCAAATTTGACAGGGGCTTCGTGAATTCCGGCTGAAAGGCTCCTCCTGGAAAGAAGAGACAATTAAACTTGCCGGCCCGCTGTTTTATTTACACGCCGCCAATATCGACGCACCTATAGACCAAACGGAACGAATGAAATACCGAAAAAAAAGGAAAAAAATAGAGGAGCGTGCACTGCATGGCCGCGAGGCGCAAACACTTGTACGCGCGCGTTTCCATCGGCTTTGAAGTACACTCGACACCCGTGAGATCGTTGATCGTTAACTCGAAAAATTTCGAGCGTGTTGTAATTGTCGGCGGCGCCGCGATGGAAATCAACTGGCCATGGAGGGCCATTCCGATCGATGGACCATTTTACACGTATGGAGGCGGGGGCCTTTTGTGCGATACGCTTGGAGCGCGCGCGTGAAAAGGAAAAAGGCACAAGGGGGAGGGGAGAGAAGAATCACAAGATGAACGAGCCTCGCACTCGTGGAACGCGGACCTTTCCAGGGACATTCCCCCATCTTCGCTCATTATTGCAATTTTCATTTTGCCCGGCAGAGCATATATATGGACGACGCTGCCGCGGCATTCCACATAAATAAGTGCGGCGGCCCAAGAATTTTAATTCCTCTCCTACGGCTCTCGGGGATTTTTATGCCATAACTGTCATCAAGGGGAGCAGCTCGGTTAGACCCTTCGAGATAATATATATACGTTTGGGGGTCGTGTGGTTTTTGGATTGGAATATTAGATGCAGAAAACATTTTTTGTTAAACATTTCCCAAACCAAAGCTCACGGGATACATTATGTTGACGTTGATGGTCTCGCGTACGTCGAACAGAGACTAGAAAGTCATCACGGCAATCAATTGCATTCCTGTAATAATTACGGGGGATAATCATCGTTCGGTTTTCGCTAATGACGCATCGATGCCACGTGTATATTTATACATACTCAACGAATATGATGAAAAAAAAAAAAAAAAAAAAAAAAAACTAGGGGTATAGGGGTCCCCTTGAAGCCAAACGCTTACGTTTTTTTTTTTTTTTCGAAAACGCGCGCTCCCTCGTCGAACGAGTGACATGAAAACTGGCAACTGGCAACGAAACCAATGAAACGACCGCACAATCAGAGCCAACAGCGGAATAATCCATCACCGCGCCGAACCCGCCGACTGGCCATTCACTGAGCGTTTCGACCACTCCGATGGAGAAAGCCCGACTGCACACCGCATGTACGCACTTATCGCGGTGAGAGAGCCGTTGATCGGCAGCGATAGAATTTCGCGGGTAATGCAAAGGGAGGAAGGAAGGAAGGGGGTGGGAAGCCCCGCACCTGCTAATGCACCGAACTCTCGTCCCGTAGCGACCGAGTCACCGAGCAATTTCATCCTCTCCTCTGTACATACACGCTGCACTTTTGCCCCGATATTACCGATATCCACCACGTCTCTTTACTGCACCTGTATGGCGCGCGGAATGCGACGACAAGCCGTTATGGATGCGCCGTAACATCGGCGTTGGTGCAATATAACAGGGGGTGCTCGATGAAACGAGAGCGGCATCAGCGGCAAATGGTGCGCGCGAAATTAAGAACCCACCCCCCATCGGTAGATATTATTAAATTACTCACTTATAACAGCGCGCATCGTTTCTTTCTTTTATCCCCTGGAACTATTGTTTCCTTCATTTGTTTTCCCCCGGACAGGTTGTAATCTCGCGAAACTGCATTTGACGGGTGTAACTCTTTTTTTTTTTTTTCATCGTTCGTTCGTTTACTCGAGGAGGGAGCGCGCGTTTCTCATTGTATATTGTGTTTAATTAAGACTTTGACACGGTATATAATATATGTATGTGTATATACGTGGAAGGGGAGAAACTGGGTTTATTATAATAATACATCCTCACGGGCCAGAAGTTACGGCGCTGATATTCCAAAACAAGCAACGAGAGAAGCGCGCTCCGCGAAACTTCCCATGTATATATATATATATACGTACCAGCTGCTCGGCTGTTTGATTTGTCAACGGTTCGGGGGAAACCCGTGCGCTTTTTACCGGGCTTTTCGACAATTTTGTTTGACTTGTTGGGACGTTTCTTTTTTTTTTTTTTTTAACAAATGTCATCTGAAAATGGGGGATTTTCGCCGAGTAAAAAGTTAATTTTTAGCGCGTCTACTCTTTTTTTTTTTTTTTTTTTGTCGAAAGTATCACGGGTTCTGCGGAGCATTCTCAAGACGGAGGAAGTGTTTGTTTGCTTGTTTTTTCATTTCTCTTTAATCCAAGCTGCTCGGCAGCGGGGCCGAGATAATTGGATAAGAAGATCACGAAAATGAAGACCGGCCCACTTAACACGTAACACTGATAATGCGATACGACGGGGTGGGGGAGAAAAGTAATCTCGCGATAATCTCGGAGGATCTCTCTTGATGACGAAATAATTTCGAGTGAACGCGTTGTGTGCGCCAAACTCGGTATACTGTATAAAATACATTGTATTTCGCTCGAAGGAAAATAGCTGGGTATTTTTTTTTTTTTTTTTTTTTTTTTTTAGAACCACCGACTTGTTTGAGGCCATTTACGTCGAAAGAATGCTGTGCTCGCATCCTCACCAAATTGCGATGCTGAGGACAATGACAAATAGAGGGAAAAAAATGAAAGTTTACGGGCCCATCTACGGAAGGAGAACAGCGGATCTTGATATAATTTTTTACTTAAAAACCAATGACTTTAAGCAACAAAGTGTTTATTTTACTTGCTTTTTACTTTCCTGAGTCAATAATCTAAGTATTATACAATTCGATTGGAAATTTAATTAATTTCGTTCCACGTCACGTATCCCAATGGCATTACGTTTTTTGCATTTGTACTCGTCATGAATATCGAAAGCCAAATCCAAATGATCCTGACACGTTACACATTTCGTGTGTGGCTATTGTATGAAAACCCATACTAGGACGATAATACGTGAACACGAAATTCCGACATGGACACAAAAAAAAAAAGGTAATTTTATTATGGTTATCTTCAAAGTTGTGGTAATCAGAGCAAGAAACCCCAACGTGTACACGCATACACAGCGAAGCCGTGCATGCGTATCCGATGGAGACTTTTCTACGCTTGGGAAGTCGACGACTACAAAGAGGCGTCCGAGTTTTCCGGGCAATCGCGAAACGAAGAGTCACCAGGACTAATTCCCAGTTAATTTATTCGCAAAAGCTTGAATGACCACTCGTTTTTGCTCCCGAGGGACGCGGTGAAAGGCCGATGGCAGCGAAAATTCCCATTGGCCGAAAGTTCGACCCTCCATCCATCCGTCGACTCTCTTATCTCTATTATACACCCCCTCTTCGGAGGGGAGCTGCATTCAATTCCGCATTAATATTTTCGATGGTAATTAGGCGCTGCTTATCGGCCGGGAAACCCTCTCCTGTCGCACCTCCAGCAACAACGACGGATGGACGGGGGGGAGGGACCATTTTAATGGCCGCTCTCGACAAATACCACCGCTGAGCACTCGAGATGCGAGTGTCAATTAGGGAAAAGTGCGCGCTCTCTCCTCGTCACCGGCTCTCTGATGTCGATCGAGCGAAACAAAAAAAGGCGCAAGAACCATCACTGCCGCGACACCTTTTTTTTGGGAAGAACAAACGCCCAGTCATACGTGGAAAAAAAATCTCTCGAGCAAAATTTGTTACTCCGACTGATGATGATTTGCAACAGGTAGGTGGACGTTTAAACAATTGGGGCCACGTTGTAACGATTTGACGGTATTTTATCGGTCGATCCCAGCAATGCCCCAGCCGCGCGTCTACGGGGGCGACGGTACTTAACGAATTAACGTTGGGCCTCTCGTGTGTACTGGTAATGAGGTCCTTTCGTACAGTGAAAATTATTCGAGCATCGGGAGTTGGAGGAGCTGTTGAACTGTAGCTCTCTCTGGCCTTCTCTTGCTGCAAGGATTCCGACGTTAGCGGTGGATAGGGGGCGTTTTGTTCCGCGGAAAGGCACATGTCGCGTAAAGTTTTTCCTTCCACAGGATCAATTAATAATACAAATGAGCATGAATAAATAAAGATGACGATCGAGCTGTCAAGAGATGTATATTTGCTGCAACTCACACACACACACACACACGGTCAAGATATATGTATGTAAATTCCACGTGCGGGGGTATACCCAAAAATATAGGAGGAGGAGGAGGACGTGTTACGATTAAAGCGTTAGTTAAAAATCATTTCGTTTCGCGCCAGCGAGTAATCGTGTTTATCCCCCCTCCCTCGAACAGGAGCGATGGAATTTCAACCCCTAGGTGATTCTTCCCCCCACGAGCATTGATAGCGAGCCATCCGATGAGCTTGCGGTCAACCACCGACAAGTCGAGCGCACCGATCGGGCGAACGTGCTTTTCGTCAACACCGAGTGGCACACAAACATATTACATTCTTACCTACCCGGGTACTCGTGTAAAATGCACACTTTGCGCTCTAACGAGCATCAGTACCTACAGGCATACGATTGGGGGTACCCTGCAATGGGGGAAAAGAGGGATGAAGTGACCGTATAGGTACATGGTGCTCGGCTGGCAAAACTGGGCTATATTAAGCGCCATCACTCGTCCCCCTCCTGCTGTACTGCCGAGGTAAATAATATGTCATATATTACAATACCCCCACGTGCATATATTTACGATATTTCGTCAACCCGCATTGTATGTACGAATACGTGTTGTATGCCTTCATCTGCATATCGCGCGAAACTTTGCCGTCACCTGGCAGCGCTTCGTTTCTGTCCGTCCATCTGTCCATCTGTCGCTCGTTGACCCCACACTACCGGTATATCATACACTAGCTCCGTTGCGACTGTTTGGTAATTGAGAGTTGAAACGACTCCGCCAAAGGGACGCTTGCGCCGTTTGACACGTATTTTGTCCCGCGTATGACAACTTTTTGTCGATTGCTCCGTCAAATCGCTGAGTTGCGGACATGCAGTTCCCATCCCCCCCTTTGCGCGCAAACTATCACGCAAAATCAAAGTCGCTTCTTTTGACTCCGTACCGAGAGCTTTTTTGATACAACTAATCTGGCATGACCCGTTTGTAAAACGCAATCAAGCGTCATGTAAATCATCGAGCGTTTTTAACTTGATTTGCAAAGTAATTACACGTTACGTTTTTTTATTTATTTATTTTTTTTTTTTTCGGCACTCCTTCGGTTGGTAAGGATTTGCGTTTGTCTTGATTTCTAACATTCACGACAGTGGCTGTGACATTTTTTTTTTTTTCTCCATAAAATGTTACTGTCACATCTGGCGAGTGAAAAAAAAAAAAAAAATCAAACAGCGTTTGGAATGTAGTTTAAAAATGTGCTCGGGAAAAGGGTCCCCGTCCATCCACTGTCTTACAAAAAAAAATGTCCAATATATTTCCAATATTCAGAGTTGGGTGGTCTTGCAACGTCTTATACTTGCACTTGAGACACGGGGCTTTCGAAAAATCTCGGAGTCTTTCGGACTTTTGAAATGTATTAAAAACCAAACTCACCTAAATTATCGCGAGGATAAATCAGCAAAGCCAGTAGTACCGCAAAAAGTGTCCTCTCCCAATCGATCATTCCGTGTCGATAGAGTTGAGCTGGAAAAGAAAAGACAATCGTTTTGAATGACGTTAAAATTCAATAGGTACTACAATTCGAGGATATACACACATATGTGTACATAAATATTTTCTTAGGGTTGCTTGTTAACGGTACATTCAAGAGGAAAATCGGTACGTCTCGTGTACCGAACAAACGAACAGTGCGATCGTTTATGAATGTACCGAGATGGCGTGCAAAACCGGTCGACTGTACCGTTATCTACGAGAGATTGGTTTCCGGGTAGCCGATAACGGCCGATCAGTCTTCACTACACGCGAGAAAACAAGATCTAAGACGCAAGAGGCGGAAAGAGCGTGAGGCTGATTGGTGTGCAAGTAATGTGGGCCACTCGGCCAACGCGACCTAATGGTGGTTATTTGCCGTTAAAAAAATCTCGTTACGATTGCCTCCACGATCGATCGTTCGGCGAATCAGCGTACCGATCTTACTTTGTGCCTCGATATCGCGCGCCACGCGAGTGTAAATTAATATTCCAATCACGCGAAGAGGGAAACGAAATCGTTTAGGGAGCAACCGCGCAATTGGCGACCATTAAGAATCTTCCCCGAGGCTCGTGGGGGGGGGGCGTTTAAAGACGGGGGTAGTGTGGGTGAGAATACATGAATACACGAGGAGTCAAAAAAGAGGCATTACGTGGCGAATCTCCCTCGATGATTCACGTCTAGGCTCTCGCGCAATCGTTTAACCCGCGAGGAGTAGGGGCATGTATAACCAAAGTGGCCGCGGTGGTGAAATTTTAATTAGAAACGCCAAGATTGCCCCCTTCTCCTGTTTCGCTCTTGCCACACGCGCGGCGGAGTAGCGGTTTCTTTTCCCGAACCGAAGCTGTACCGCGGAGAACCAGGTGCCCCGAGAGAGAGAGAGAGAGTCCGGGCAAATCTGCATTTGAAATTTGATTCATGTCGAATACGTAATGGAGCGCGGGCACCGGTACAAGCCATGCACCACCCTCCCCCCTCCTATACCTCCCTTATTTATTTCTCTTGAACTTTTTGTCCGCGGCTCCGTACGTGTTTATCATTCCACGGGGGCTGATTGCGCTTTGATTTGCCGGGGTGCGATTTCCTCTCTCGCCCCACGCTATACGAAGCGTCGAGGCTAATTTATCGCGACCAACCCTGCCCTTTTAGCTATTTTGAGGAATCATTTGATATATTCACTAGCATCGTAGTACCTTCCTCCCCCCCCCCCCCCCCCTTATTAAAGAGAGTCCAACACTCGAGCCGATCGAAAGTCCCAGCGGTGATTGGACGCGTCACTCACGGAGTCTCCCAATCAACCATCGATATGTATATTTTTATTTAAATGCACGCGGGAAGGGGAGGGGGGCACCGTTTGATCCTGTTGCGCGAGCATCGTATTTTCGCGCGTTTTCCGTCCCTTTTTTTCACCACCCACGAACAGAGAGAACGGCAAATTCCATTTGCATAGTAATGCGCCCCGTTGGAACCTCCCCCCCCTTGCCCGGAATTCCCTGTAGTCGGCGATTCAATATCGCCCCGCGATGCGTGCTATTATCATCATTGTTATACCAAAAGAGGACACTATACTCCGGTACTCTTGTGTCGGGTGTGCACGAGGACGTGTGTGTGTATGTGATTGGCACATGAAAGCGCGCGTCGTCACACCTTCCAATCGAGCCGAGTTGAGTGGCTGTATATGCATTATGTAACGATTTTGCTTATTGGAAAAAATTAAATGGTTTTTCGCCCTCGGTGCGCCATTGTGTGTACCGAAACTTCGTCAAAAGTATGTGTATCGCTCTCTTCGTGCATATACATGTGTGTGTGTGTGGGTCGAATAATTAAACGTCGCGCAAATTGGATCGGTCGTCGAGTCGGTGCCGAAAAAATGGCAATGAAATTAATTACCCGTCGATGCTTGATTGGGGTTCGCTTAAATTGTACGTATAGTTGGGGCGGGGGGGGAAAAAGAAATTTTCCATGCGAGTGGTCGGGGAAAAATGATGCATAACGCACAGGCGGGTGCACACGCAACTGCGAATCGAAAACTTGTTGAATTAACTTTACGAGCAATATAAAAGGGGGGTATCCGGAGCATCCCCACGAAACAATGAGCGACGGAAGAAAAGAGGCACGGGGGGTGGTATCATATTTTCCGGCAAAAAATAACGGCGCTGCTCCTCCTCGGTAGACCGACCGGCTAGCAAGTTTTCGCCCCCCAAGTTCTATAACGACTTTCGAGTTTTCCCGAGGCTCGCTCTCGCTCTCTCTGCTTTTCTTCGATTTCCCGCTGAATTTCAAACATTCAAAAGGATTCCGCGCATATTAGAAAACTTCCGATTCCGCTTTTTGACAAAAGCCCGGAGAGCCAAGAGCCATGTATAGGAAAAGGCCGGCGGGGGGGGGGGGGGGAAAAAACATGCGGTCGCCTTACGCGCGCGGCTAAGTAAAAGCTTTTCGACGTTTACGTTGGACTCCCACTACCTCTTTCCGGGTACGTCTGTCTTTGGCCTCTGTGCATCCCTCGGAGAAAAGAATGTGGCCTCTCCAACTCTGAACAACCTACGCGGGAACTTTGTGATTTTTTCTTTTGCCTTTTTTCTTCACCCCCCGCCCCCTTCCCCTAAGTTTTGCGTCAACAAATAATGATGATCGGTAATGATTTGTTTTGGTACTCGTCAGTGACATGGCGAATAAAAAAATTACATTCACAATAATTGAACTTGTTAAAAACATGTGTACGCGAAAGAAGGGGGAGGGGGGAAAGAAAAACCTCCCCTTTTCTTTTTCTTTACAACAACCGCACATTTTTGGTGAGGCAAATTCGCAAACAAGGGGCTACTATTTTACTCGGGGCCTTTCGCATTTATCTTTGATTGAGCAAGTTTGATCGGTATATATACGCTTTAATTGAAGTATCGAGATGAGCGACACAGCGAAAAAATACGAGCATAAGAGGATGAGGAGTGGGGGAAGAAAAATCTGTTCTGGGAACAAAAGCTAACCCTCCCCCTTTCTTTTTCTTCACAACAAACCGCAAGTGTGTATATATACCTACAGCGGGTGGGCACGACTCCCCGGGCAGGCGGATAATTTATGGGCAAAATTGAAATGTCGATATATATACACACGCACGCGTGACAGCTCGCGCGTAAAAAGTTTTGGCCGCGAATTTTTTTCCGCCCGGGTCCGCGAAAAGAGGGGATGAATATTATATGCGAGTTCTATATGCTCGGAGGAACCGGGGTCGGGGCGAAGATGAAAAAAAAAAAAAAAAACACCGGGTTCCTGTCTTTGACGGTTTAACTAATGATTTTCCGGGCTCGCGGTGAGTACGGGCTGCACCGATATTCTCCAAGAAAATTACCTCCCCGGCGCTCCTTTTTCTCCACCCCTTTGCACGCGCTCGCTTCTGTAATTCGATGAAAATTCCCCTGTGTTTGATATCATTGGGTCCTGTTTATTCCGGAAGGAAAAAAACAAAACAAAACAAAAAAATAGTTTAACGCATCCCCCCGCGTAGTTGGTATATCAAAGTTGAAGCACTCGGCCATCCGAATCGACCTTTTTTTTTTCTCGGCTCATCGGCGTGGAAAATAATTTTCACTCGCCAAAGTGTCCGCTCAAATTCATCCGAGTTCTGAATGTATTTTGCTGTAAAAAAAAATACTTTTCCCACGGCGAGTCTATATATATTTACACGTAAAAAGCCTTGAGCTAATTAACGAGCTGTTGGCCGAAGAAGAAAAAAAAACCAAGATTTGCGCTGCCAAGGAAAACTGCACCATCACGCGAGATTATTAATCCTGACGTCAGGTATAGGCATAATAAACCTGGAGCTACATGTATATTTTTACCCCGTGGATTTTCCTACTTGCGCGTGGTATATGCATTAAATCGTGATGGCAGATGAACAAACCTGTCACGTTGAGCCGTTCTACACGTAAGTCCTTTCTACACGTTAAAATGCAAGTTAAAACTTGTGCTCCCTACCAGATAGTGTGCGCTCGAATTTGGTCGAGCTAATTGGGCGATGAGCTAAGCGCCTTAGAGGCAGGACAAAAAGGAACGTGCATCTGTAGCAGGTGCGAGCGGACGTTTGTGTTGAAAGCCACACGCTTGACCTACCCAGCACATTGGACCTGTTGCGGTTGGATACCGATACCGTACCGCTAACACCTCCTCCTCTCTAATATCGCCGATACCAAACAATAATTCCACAGTGACGAACAAAATATATTTATCGTATCCGCTGGGTGTCGTCGCGTACGTGTTTTTACACGCCCCCTCGAACAATTGATTGGATTAGTTTGGGAATGCGCATGTGGACCCGGTGTGTACAGGGTCGCAACTTCTAATTGGTAATTAAACTCGCAAAAAACATAGAATTCCTTTCTTTTTACCTTTTGATTTTCGCTCGAAAACTTCTCATATTCAAGGGTGTCAAGTGTACATCAAAATCGGAGGAGAGAAAAAAAGGCAGTCGAGATTCGTTCCGCTCCGTTGCAAGCCTGTACAAGTTCGCGCGTATATTTATATACACAGTGCGGACACAAAGTTGGGCCCCGTGGTATAACGTACCTTATGACAATTCGAGCCGAGAGCAACGCGGTACTGCGGTTTAGCGGCCAAATTATCAAGTAAAACAAAGACTCTCCGTCGCTCAGACGCCCTTCCGCGTAAAAGTTTCGCGTACCACTCTAAACTCACCGTCGGTAATCGCGATCTTTACGCGCGCGCTCGTGGCCTGTGTGGCTCCCCGAAGCCGCGAATCCAGCAACAGCCCGTGACTGTACGCTACAATGATAATAATTGCTCGGATCGTGCCGGAAAAACTTTGGCCGTTGGCGCTTTTTTTTTGCCTTGCAGCCTCGCTTGAGATTCATAACGAAGGAGATCGATCGGCCCTGCACCAGCTCGTATCTCCTTTTCATCCTTGTCCTCTTCCAGAGGAACCAATCGATAATCATCGGCGTGTTTTGTCGAGGTTTTTTATTTTTTATTTTTTTTATTTTTACGTACACATAGCTCGTTTATAAATGGGGATTACCGATTTCGGTGAAGGATTTTTTTTTATCTATCACGTATTCCGCAAAGCGTGACAGAGTGCGTTTCAGGGCGGAAGTATTTTTTTTATTAATATCGAGTTTGATACGCGGATTAATTCGACCCGAGCGTGATTTATACACACCCTTCGTTTTATTTACTTTTTTTTATTCTCGCGTTTGCTCGTACACCGGGTGAAGAAAGAAGTACTTTGCGTGTAAAAGAATCTCTAAATCAAATTCCTGCGTATCGTCGAGTTCTTTTTTTTTTTTTTTTCCGTTGTACCTCCTTGGATGCGCTGTACAGATTTTTTTTTTTTTTTTTTTTTTACCGATATGATGGGTAATATTGAATAAGTTTAATAACCCTTCACTGTGTAACTATAGGTGAGCTATCGGAAGCAATTTATAAATACTTAACGAGAGTACATGTATACACGCGCTACAACGGGCTGACTAAAAAAACAAAAAAAAAAGGGAAAAGATTAATACCCGCAAAAAAAAAGGATGAAATTGAAAAATCCTGTCCCCCCCTCCAAAAAAAAATCAGGATCATAGAGCAATCAATTAGTTACACCCATACATCAACCGTTGGTGCTTCTTGTTCGCGAGTAATTTTTTTTGTTTTTTTTTGTTTTCGGCAAAACGAAGCGGGGCATTAAAAACCCAGCCTCATTTAAACGCCTGATGGACGCGCTATTGGCGTAATACCGGGGCATTAATTCACCACGCGCTCCCCTCCTCTCTTTCGCCGCTGTGTGTATATATTATCCTAGATTGCATCGTTAGATTAATCGACGCTTTGAGAGCGCTATCAATTTCACAAAAATCCCGCACAACGATCGTGTATACAAGCGCGCGCACACTAGCCGCAATAATTAAGCATACGCGGTTTTCATACCTCGCTCTCTCGAGTGATTAATTATCGGCCGTTATCTCGTTGAAGCGCGTCAATTTTGAATCGCCAACACTTGATTTGGAAGAAGAAGAGAAAAAAAGGGAAGAGAGAAGAATACATCGATCCTTTGTTCAATCAAAGCACAAGCGGGAGCGAAAAAATCGGTATTGCAGAGGCGCGCGTACAGTTGGGTGTATACAAGAGGCCGCGGGAGGAGGAGGACTACTCGTCCCCTGAATTGATGGCGTAAATATCGCGGCAGACGGCAGCCCGCAATTTATGGCCATTGTAATGACCCTTAATGTTCGTGAGTAGTTTGGCTGCGCAAAGCCCTCGTAAAACTCTCTCTCTCTCTCTCTCTCTCTCTCTCTCTTTCGCTCTGTTACGGCGCGCAAAAGTCCTGGCGCGTCTTTCGTCCGTTTTTTCTTTCTTATTTCCCGCATACGGATTACGCCTACGTACTCATCCGAGCCATTGAAAAGTACCTTACGGGGGGAGGGACGATTATTTTGTAACAATTTTTCTCTTCCGCGTGTATATGTTTTTATAAAAAATGCACGCACACCGGCGCAGCGCATCTTATTTTCATCTCGTTAAAATTGATAACACGCCGGAGAAAAGTTTCGCCCGCGGCCGCGAATTTTATTACCCACGCGACTGTCTTAACGAGGCTTGATTGCATTGCGGTTTAATTAGGCACGCAGGGAAAAGTACAAAAAAAAAAAAAAAAAAAAAAAAAAAAAAAAAAAAAAAAAATAGTAGCTACTTATCCGACAGAAAAAAGTTTGCCGTACACCACCACCACCACTGTGGCAATCGGGCGAGAAGCAGCACCTGGGGACGAAAGGGCCTCGGGTAGGGGGGTGCAATGAAATATTTATCGAGCTACTTTGAAGCACGACGTTGTTGCTCCGATTAAACAAGTTTTTTCGCCCTGCCCCGGCTGTGGCTCGTACACGGCCTTTATTGTTTTTCACTGTGCGCCCGTGTCCCGGGAAACGGGGGGTAAAAATTTTTAATTAAAACCAACCACACACCAACCGCTTTTGAATCATCACCGTCGTCTTTCGACACACACGGTTACATAAATATAGTCACTGTGATCATACGCATACCTAAACATTTAGAAAAACCAAGGACTACCCAATGACTATACTATTCGCGCATACTAGACTCGTGTGAGGTATGATAGGCAAGATCGACACGTGCGATCGGCGCTCCTCTCGGTGCAATGTTCCGTTCACGAGGACCAACGGAAGCCACGAGGGGCCATGAAAGTTACACAACTCGCGGTTGTAAAATCCAAAAAAAAATCGCGCTCTCCCACACAAACCATTTCTTTATTTGTTTTTCACCGGTGCATTTTCGCGCAAATGCAAACAAACGCGACTTGCCCTCCGCTTCCGCAGCCATGCGTATAAATTCCTATGTGCGCGTGTACCTACGACCTGAGAAAACGAAAAGAACGGAAAGAAAACGAACGCGGCGACTTTCATTGCCGCCCCCGTGTTATCGTCCTCTGTTATATACATATACCTACGTAAGCCGGAAAAAGAGAGAGAAAGGCACGTGGAGTTGCACGCATAGTGGCGCGAGAGAACAAACGGCAAGGGGTAAAACGAGCGTCCGGGTCGCTGCGAAAAAAAGAGCCGTAGGGGAGTTAACAGGTGGCGGCGAACGGTGGAAATAAGAAAAGAAATCAACAACAAAAAATTCAAGCTTCGGTAATTGCGATATGTTAGGTGGGATACAAATACAAATGTGTGTGTACATTGATTGTATGTATAAAAAAAAAAAAAGAATGATTGTTGGAGAAAATATATTGTAATAGTAAGGAACGCACGGGCGGTAGTCCTCGAGAAAGGGCGGCGAGTCAGAGCGGCGTATCGGCTTGGTGGTCGATCGGTTGGTGATGCAGTCGCGGCGACATCGGCAGCGGTCGAGCACGAGTCATTTCCTCGCGTATCAAGTATCCGCGCGTGGGTTCCTTTTGGTATTTTTGGACAACGCGCGTTAACGATTTCAAGGGGCCAAGGATCGAGGAAGGAGGGACGCGCGCGCAGAGCCGACAACCGCGTCGGTCGGTACGTGCCGGCAGACTGGCTGCTCCCATCGGTGGCGCGATCGCACACCCGGCACCAGCCACCGGCCAGACAGAGATCCTGTCGCCCCCCCCCTCCCCCCGTACACATCCTTTTCGAATAGCCGCGCGCACTGTGTACAGGTACACCCTCCTCTCGGCTGTGCACGCGCGCCTCTACTTACACCCCTTATTATAATACACGCTTGCTATGCTTTTCACAGGGAATATGACCGAGGAGGGTATTGGTACATATGTATACACATGTGATATCTGCTGTACTTATAAAAAGATCAAGGGGCACTGGCAGCTTGATTTAATCCTAAAAATTACTGTATCTCGGGTAATTTTGCTCGATGAGTGGCTTGTTTTCAACGTGATTTTGTTTTTTTTTTTTTTTTTTTTTTTTCTTTTCTTTCCACGAGATCTTTCTCGATTTATTCGTTTCGATATTGTGTCAAGTATCGGAGGGAGGGAAAACAAAAAGGGCCCTCGTACAGCCGTGGCAAATTTAATACATCACTTGGTTATACATGACGTGTGCCCGAATGAGCGAGCATATATTTGATTTTTTTACGACTGAAACCGCACGGGGCGTTTATTATTTTATTGAATCGCGTTCGTATACTCACGTCTTACGTGTGAGGAATAGAAGCGAGCGATCCGATTACGGAAGATCTGGATTTAATTAACAAAATTATCGAGACACTTTGAGTGAGCTCGTAGGTACATTGATTAAGTAATATCGGTATCAGTGAGAGACAGCCGGTTGACTCGATCAATTAAAACTCACTGGACGAGCTCAAAATGTGTATTTATACGTACACGATTCGCGTATTGCTTATCAATTTCTTTGACGTATCGAATTAAATTTTAAACCGATTATTCATTTTTTTTTTGTACGCTTTAAGTGAAAGTTTAAAAATATTTCAATTCAATAAAACGATCGGCGCAACAAATCGAAGCGCACGGGACTCAATTATCCTACAGTAAAACAACAGTGTGAACCAATAGGTACATGTGTATCACAAACGTGAACATTAACAACAACAATAACGAGCGTCATCCACAGTCAAATGTCCATACAAAGAAATACCGCTTAACCGTATATCCTTCCGCGAGATACCCACCCCCAGCCCTCGCTTGACACCCCAAGCCCGATAATTAGGAGCGTTAATTACCCCTCCCGAAAGTTCGTATCGGCCGACGCGTCCGGCTACCGTTACATTAGAGGACCCCGTCCCGCTGTCTCTGGTCCGATTGCGCGACGGGGCTCTCCTCGCATCCGTCGTCTCTCTCTCTCTCGTGGCCGAAACGCCAGCGTGACAATGGCAAATGTGGCCGAGCGAGCGGGCTAATACTCTCCCGTTGGCCGCAATGCGCGATCACATCGCCGACGCGGACCTGACGGGACGGTAGACGAGGCGCGACACCTTTGTTGCACTCCAATCCCGCCCTCTCTTCCCCCCCCCCCCCCACGCGCGTATTAATGTAATGGAGTGCCACTGCAGCCTCGGGCCGCTTATATACCGGTGTTGCAGCGTCGCTAGTGGACGAATCATTGATTATTTATACCTGTACCGATGTGTGTTACTCAATACTTTTCATGCTAAACGCATGTGCGGTTTCTTTGAAAAACCATATCATCCGATACCGATCATGCAAAGTTCCCTCCCAACAACACAACATAATATTATGTGGTTTGAATTGTCCAGCTGATTAATCAGCCGTGCAATTGAACTCAACGACCCGCCCTACGTGTACATTATTTTTTTTCTCGAATAACACCTATATACGCACCTACACACCGTTGTGTGGGGGTTCCCTCGACGAGAGCCGAGCCATCAGCGGCAGAATCGGGAACAAAATATACAATCGACGATTTATCGGGGGCGGGGGGTGGGGGGTGCTAACGCGTGCACCCGAATATTATTTACTGCTCGCAGATGGCTGAAATTTTCATTGCACGCGCCAACGACCACCGGGATACGGCTAATAAAATCTCACTCCCTCTCTCTCTCGTGGACGATTAAATCCACTAAATATTCTCAGGTGTGATGCGACGTACGCACTTTTCCTTTTTTTTTTTTTGTTTTTTTTTTGCTTTTTGTTTCTCTTTCGCGCGACGATAAGTGCGGGGGAGAAAAAAAAACGTATATAAGCTCGCCGTGCTCCCCAGGGAAGGAGTCCATAGTCATCCCCGATATACGTTTCCTCCCTCGGAACGATATTTTATTATTCCACCCTCTTTTCGACCCTTCACCACCCCACCCGTTATTCTTACGTATACGACCGCATATATATATATATATATATATATAGGTACGCGCGCACAACGAGAAGAAGGTCGTCCGCAGTCACTCGGTATCAGCTCCCACACTCCCGAAGCTTACTCCTCCTTCTCACCCCCCGTGACGCGTGTACGCAACGACATCAATGAAGTTTGTATCCCAACACTCGCACGCACCCACCCCCTCCTCCTCTTCTCTGCGCGTCGTTACATACATATATATATATACGTATATACTTCCGAGCCGAGGACTTGAGTTAGTGACGGGCGAGCTGTCGCGGCCCGCATGGCTGCTCCCGTTACTACCGCTACTACTGCGTACAACGGACTTCGTCATACTAGGCTGCCAGCGCGGCGTGTGGTAGCAGTTGTTTTACAGCCAGGAGCACAGCCACACCCCCTTACGACAAAGTACAAGTGCAAGGAAAGGTGAAATTGCAGCAATAATCTTCTTTCTCTTTGTTTTCCCATACGATCGATGTCTGACCAAACGCGGGTTTTTCTACTGATTCCGCGCGCAACACGTGCATCCTACGTAATTGCGTATACGTACACATCAGAAATGGCGGGGGGAGGCATTCTCTCACTCCTTCTCGAATGTATAAGTGTATCGAGGAGTGAAATTACCTTAGCTGTCGCGGCCCGCATGGCTGCTCCCGCTACTACTGCGTACAACGGCCTTCGTCATACTAGGCTGCTGGCGTGGCGTGTGGCAGTTGTTTTACCGCCAGGAGCTCAGCCACGCCTTCTTGCGACAAAATACAAGTGCAAGAGAAGGTGTAATTGTAGCAACAATCTTTTTTCTTTTATTTTTCCCCCGTACGCTCGATGTCTGACCAAACGCGGGTTTTTCTACTGATTCAACGCACAACACGTGCATCCTACGTAATTGCGTATATGTATACATTAGGGAGGTGAAGGGAGAGGTGAACGCTTATTTCGTCTCAAATGTATAAGTGTATCGAGGAATGAAATTATCTTCGGGCACGGTAAAAACCGATTACGGGGGGCCAGACGGTCCTGAGAAGGGCCGAGTAATCCCCGTTAATGCGCTCGCCCAGGGGGGGAGGGCACTCTTATTGCGAAGCGCCGAGGGGGGAAAATTTCCTTATTCTATACAATGAAGGCGTGCAGGGAGGAAACTTTTGCGTAGAGCCAGGCTTATTTAATTATCCGCGTAATATATACATGTATTTAAAAGTGTTCGAAAGCCAATGGGGACCGGATTTTTTACTTTACCAAGGAGTTGCAAGAAATAAGTAAGGGAAGAAAAAAAATAGGGGACAATGCCATACTGTGCTGTGGACGAGAAAAAATAATAAATGAGTCGATATCCGTGCATGTGTGTATTCTTGAGGTCCCACATTGTGTGTCCACGCGTTTTTCCGGGATCAAGTTTGAGGGAGCCCGCGTAAACACGTCAAACTCGACGGTGTCTATTATTCTTCTCCTCGTCGCCTTCTCTCTCTCTCTCTATTCTTCGCGCAACTTTTAAGAAAAAAGTTCTCCTCGGCCACCACCCTTGTTCTCTTTTCTCGCACATAATGTTTATATATGTACGCGCACGCAGCATCCGCTGTCTTCGCCCCACGAGTACACGCACAAGTCCAACAGTGTGACTTTCTCGCGTCCGCGACTCTTGGCCTTTTTTGAACACGAGGAAAACAAGTTGGGCGCATACACGACTTTTCAGGCCCACAGGCTGCCAGCAGCGAATCCTTATTTATTATATATATATATATGTATACACTCGAGGAGGGTGTTAAGGCTCAATCTCTTCCCGTATGTGTTTTAGACATCAGCTTGAGCAGGGGTGGCGCACAGAGAGGATAGTGTTATTTTTTTATTTTTTTTTATATATACGAAACATACGCAATGAATAATTAAATATATAGTTAGTTGGATACGTCTTTTTCCCCGATTGGTCGAGGGTACTTTGACGCCTCTTCGTTTCAATCGTTTTTTTCCAACCGTTGCAACATTAGGATTATTCATGTAGGTATCGGTGATAATTGATTGTTTTGTTTTGGTTTTTCAGCTGAATTCCGTAAGTTAAACGTTCGAATCGAGGAGGCAAACGATTTGTTTCGACAAACGAATGAACGAACGGATTGGATAGAAAAAAAATACGAAAAAAAAAAACAAAAAACAACAACAACAGAGTAGACAGTTATTCCGCGACAATGCCAACAATATAGGCGACAACGCGCGCGAACGGACCCGCAAATCGTCCCCGAAAGTTGCAATTTCAGCCCGACTCGCGTGCTTTGCACACGCGCGGGCATATTCCACTAGAAACCAGCTGCTCTAAACAACGTGGGGGTGAAAAAAGGGGGGAAGGGGGAGAGGGAAACAAAAAACGCAAATCCAGCGTCAGACGGCATATGCAAGCAACAAACATGACGCCCCTCCCTCCTCGCGCGTGCAGAGTCGGGGCGTCGACGGCATTGTATACCGGAGCACCTGCGCCTCCGTGTGTGTGTATATATACATATAAATATACACACATACGCGACAAGAATAAGCGGTGCCTAATAAAAACCACGCTCCATCCCCTCGGTTTGCGAGTATACCTGCTGCCACTACTTACCGCGAGCTTTCCTTCACATATAAACGTTTGACTCGGCTGCACCACTGCCATATCGGGTTTTTCCATCAGACCGGATATCTTTTAATACCCACCCCACCATGCACCGAGATTTGTTTGCCGA